AAAAGTAAAGTAAAAGTAAAGTAAAAGTAAAGTAAAAGTAAAGTAAATATTGCAAGTTTGAACATTCTCCAACCAGATACATGTAGATTTCCTTCACCAAAGGCATGCAATGGTGTCCATTTATTTCATGGACAGTTTATAAATTACCCATTCTATAGAAATGAATGAGAAACATTAGAGGTTTTAAAGATGTATGCGCATCCGTGATGATTATTCTTAGTCTTGACAAATGACTGACAGCCGAGACTAAAGAGTGCACCACCCTATGTATATAATTGTGTGAATTGAATTTAAACTGAATATGAGGTAGAGAAACATTTTGGATCTTCTTCAGTTTTTATCCTTTAGTTTCTCTCACATTGATTGCTGTTTATCCCAATGGGGACAAAGTCAAGCCCTGTTATTGGATCCATTATTTCAGGGGAAAACTTCATAATGTGATTTGGTAAAGAGAGTGTTCCAACAATATATTTTCTTAGTAGTGACAGCCACATTTCTGACTATTTGGTCTCCTGAAGGACAAAGTGGATCCAGCCTAATTCTACACTGAGGATGGTTTTCAAGGCTTGATTATTCTGCAGTGCATTTGGATTTTGCCATATTTTAAATGTCATTTGCTAGTTATTAGTTTATATCCTACTTTTTAAAAGTTCAGGAACTCGAAGTGGTATACAAAGCTCTATCTTCCCATTTTCCTCCACAACCACCAACTTGAGAAGAAGTTGGGCCCAAGGGATCTGATATGATTACAAATAATCTTGATTCCAAGGAAGCAGGTGGTACAAACAGTCCTGTACAAATAAACAAAGGAATCCTTCCCTCCCATATGAGGTTAGCGAGATGTAGCTGACAAACAGCAACTCTGCAGAACTGTTGGATGCAGAAAAGTTCAGTGGTATCTCTTTGTTTGGAAATACCATCACCAGTATTTTACTAGAAATAATAAACAATGCACTTGAACTAAAATGATCTAGTTTGTTCTCCAGAAAAAAAAATATTTATACAACTGTGTTGAACATTTTCTCCACGCCTACAGGTGTTTCCACTGTTTGTATTCACAGCTATATAAAGCAACAAAACAGGCTGTCACTTTAGCATTTCATTTATACTTCTGGTATAATTTTGTTCTGTTTATTTTGGTCAGGTGCAAAGTCTTTCAGCATTTTGTTTTGCAAAGCAATTTTTCTGGATGGAGTTTCTGTTTTGACTTTTTTTAAACAGCAAGAAATAATAGAACGTATATAGTTAACGGAGCCTTTGAGATACGTCATTTATAGCACTAAGCATCTTGATAACTAACTTTTTTTTTTTTTTTACAATTCCAGCCTACGGCTGCTGCTATTCTGTAGGGACTTTTCTACTCCACTTCTGGATAAATGCAGATGATGATGATTGTTATGCATGAAATGTTGGAAAGTTTGCTCGTTTATTACATCAATAAAGCAGCTGGTCGATTTCAAGCTACTTTGTAGATAGCTTTGCTCCACTTTGACTCAGTTTATTTTAGTTTGTTCTCGACCCTAATTGCTCATCTGTCTATCATTTTGATATGAAAACAGAAGGCAGCCCAAGGCATTTTCCGATCTGAGAGAAGCTTCCTACTCTGTGGCTGACAAAATCTGAACTGTTGGGTTTTGTTTAAATACTTTTCAATCACCTTAGGTTAGAAATCTTTGCCACAGCTGAGGATTATTATTATTTATTTACTATATTTATATATCACCCATCTCTAGAGATTCCAGGCAATTAACATCTAAATAAAAATTATAATATAATGGTAATCAAAACACAAATATATAATAATGGTATACAAAATAGGGTGAAATGGAATAGAATAGAATAGAATAGAATAGAATAGAATAGAATAGAATAGAATAGATTACAGAGTTGGAAGGGACCTTGGAGGTCTACTAGTCCAACCCCTTGCTCAGGCGGGAAACCCTATACTATTTCATTGTTCTCCTAGAGGTGATAAATGGTTGAATAGAGGTGAGAGAAACACATGTGAAGGTTAGAAATGATCTGTACAACGTCTTTTAATCTCCACATGGTCTTTTAAAGAGAATTTTTTGTTGCTCTGTGAAAAGATGAGCCTGGCATATTCCATATATATGGGTTGGCTATTCAAAGGCTGTTTCTGAATCACCTTTTTTGACTGGGTGAAGAGGTGGAACTCAAATATCCCGACACGAAACAAGTCCTCTGGACAAAACCATCCCATAGGTAGACTAGAAATCATCATAATTTACAATATAAGAAGATTTGGAGGACAATGGTGCTGAAGAACTTGGTAAGACTGTTGACCCTTCTTATAGCACACTGGTCAAAAGACATTCTGCCAAGTGGAACCCTTGCCAGAAGTTTTGTTTACATCAGGAAAAAAAAATTAACAAAAGGTAGGGGTCACACTATTAGTATAATTTTATTAATTTTGGTAAGACCAGAACTCTACTTTTGCTCAAGCATCATGACCATACAGGATCTGGGGTACAGAGGGCATTTTAAATGAGATGCAAAATTAGAGGTCATTTAATTTCCTGTGAGAAAATTAGTTTTACATTTCTGTGTCTTGTGTGAAAAAAAATAAGCTACACTGGTGGATTCCCTTCAGCATTATTCATGCCTAGATAGAAAATAATAATTAACTGAAAATAATGAGCCTCACGAGCCCTTCCTCCAGGATTCCACTAGACTTTTGCTCAGTATTTGAGAAAGCTTGATTAAATGTTGTAGACGAAATATTAAAAATCTACACAATGTCTCCTAATATTCCAACTGTCAGATGTACCATATCACTGAAGCTTTCCACTGTCACTTTCTGCCTATTTATTAATATAAAGGACCAAAGTTCAGGTTTGCAGGTCAACTTCCCTGAGTAAATCTGCAAAAGCCAGCCCTACCATAAGACAGAGGGAAGCAATATCTCCAAATATGGTCAGTTGCTAGAGGTGATGGTAGGGACATCTCGATTCTTCCCCTAAGCCCTTGGTAGGGAGATTGGTAGCAAATGCATAACCACCTAAGCTGATCTGCTACGTCATGCATGGGAAAACTCTTGTCTCACTGCTAGTGTTGAAGAAATTTGTATTGGTCAGGTTTCTTTCTATAGATGGAACGGGTGGAGACATCATCTTACTTTACATTTTAAGAGTAAAATGTGTGGAGATATTGGCAGTACTAATCCTTTGTGTGAATGGCTCTTCCTATTTATCTCAACAAAAGAAAGAACTAAGGAAACTTGTAGCCTAGACCAGGGGTCACCAACCTTTTGGACCTCAGGGACCACCAAACTCATAATTTTAGATCCCAGGGACCACCAACCGGTTCTGTGGGCGTGGCCTAATTTGTGTGTGTGGCTTGGTGGTCATGTGACTGGCTGGGCATGGTTTGTATGTAAATATTATAAATATTTATATAAATATTGATTTTTTTATAAAAAAAAGAGCAACTTTTTACCCAAAATCAGGCAAAGCAGGCAGATTGAGTTGCTCACAGAATCACAAATTCATTAAGAGATCTATCTATCTGCCATTGACTAGCTCAGTCTGTCACATAAAATTTGCTTGCAAGCAAACTCATAAAATTTGCTAGGAAGCAACTTCACAAAATTAACCCACAACACACCATGCATGTAAATATTGAATTTTTTTATAAAAAAGAGTAACTTTTACCCAAAATCAGGCAAATCAGGCAGATTGAGTTGCTCACGAAATCATTCAGTAATCTATCTATCTGCCATCGGCTAGCTCACTCTCTCAAATTTGCTTGCCATGAGTCTGCACTGAATTTGCTTTCAAGCAAAACTTCAGTCCTAAGGGAGGTTTGGCTGTGCTGAGCCGAAGATCTAAAGACTAGCTAGAAAGCAAGAAATCCAACCATTTCCTGCTTCCTAGCTAATCTAAATCTCCGGGCACAGCAGAACAGATGATGGTCGGAGAAAGGAAAAATAGCAATTTAGCAGGCAAGTTTGCCGGGTAAGGAGTGAATGGACGGGGAGGGTTCCCACGGGCCATGTGGGCTGAGCAGCCCTTGTGTTTCTGCGTAGCCTGAATTAATTGCTTTGTGCGGGTGCTCTGGGGTTGAGATTTCTCTGTGACCTACCAAAATTTTCTCATGGCCCACCAGTGGGCTGCGGCCCCACCGGTTGGCGACTGCTAGCTTAGACTTTGATTCTGCTCTTTCACATGAACAACAGTGTAGAATTGGGAAGGTTACCAGGTCCTAATTGCACAGTGCTTCCTCCCATGCCCCAATTATCAATTGGATCACATAAACAAGGGCAGAGTATATCTGCCATAAGCTAATCAAGGATTGCTGAGTAGATTTTAACAAGCTATAAGATTCCTTGGGCATCACTGGATTATAAAGCAAGACATGATTCCTTAAAATGTTTCCTCCATGAAATCAGCAGAGGAATCCAGAGAACCAAGAGTGCTCCCAAAGCCTTCCCAAAGCCATCCCACTGACTTTGGGATAAACTATTTCATGGAGTGCAATAGTTTGCCCATATATATCTATTTGATCTCTAATGGGCTACTTAGTGTTGGATGTTGAACAATGGTTGGTTTTGCTATGATTCATTATTCTCACCTACAAAAAAGTTTTCACTTAGCAATGTCAACAATGTCAGTAGGCCTAGAGTAAAGTACAGTAAAGTTAGGGAAAAAATCCTCATGCTTCTGCCTGGAACCACAACCATCAACAGCAGGGCTGTCAAACTCCTGGCCTTTGGGCCGGATGTGTCACAGGTTTTGCCCAGTTTA